AGGACCCTGGGATCATGACCTGAGCCGAAGGCAGACGCTTAACGACTGAGCCACCCAGGCGCCCCACAGAATTAATTTAAATTGCTTTCATGATTTCTAATTAATTCATGGTTACTCTTTCACTCTAGAATATTTATTTTTTTAAGTATTTTATTATAAAATATAGATATAATAGGCTCAAGCAATAGTTCTGTGACATAACACTTTCAAAATAACATGTGAAAATGAAACCATGAGAGAAAAGAAATGCAGTGTGGCACAGTAAGATTTTTATTTAATCACACTTCTGATTTCCTCAGTATTTTCTTTTAGAAATTCTCAGTACTCTGGTAGTTACCAGCTCGTGTGGATATTGCTGTTGGACTAGGGAGCAGGGCTGCGTGCCTTTGGCACTTGACAATACAAGGCTATTGTACAAATTCCTTTTTAACAGTAATCAAGAACATAGCTCCCTGCAATGTTCTTTCCTTCTTTCCAGTCAGGGGTGGGGGGGCTCCTCAGCACTTCCCCTCAGTGGTTCAAGTACAAACAGTGGGTATAGAGAATTAATTCCTTTCAGGACTCTCCTCACAGTTGATTATGTTGGAAACTTACGCCCTTGTGGCAATGACTGGCTTGCTTGGAACAGAAAATCAGTGTCAAGTTGTGCATGGTGATTAGCAACATACCTAATTGGGTTCTTGCAAAGTTGAAAGTACCTTACAAGGAGGAAGGAGAGGGTAATAATAACGTAGGCTTTAGAAATGAATAGCCTTCACCTCAGGCCTGTTAGCTGTGTAGTCTTTTGGTTTGAACTATTAACCTCTCTAATCCACATTTCCACAAGAAGCAACTGAGGTTAATAAGAAATAGTATCTAGACTCATACGGTTATTTTGAGGATCCAAATACAAAGTAGTTTCTTAACCCCATAGATAGTGCTTCTGAAGTGTTAGAATCGTATGCTTTACTTGGATTGCGTAATGTTAAGATCATGAGATTTTTGATTGCTGAAGTGTGTGATAATGGGAAATGACTTTCATCCCCAAATCCAATCAGATGATAAGTAGAACAATTTGAGTTTGCATAGATTATTAATTCCAATCATAGAAGCTTAAGAGTTAAATTGAAAAACTAATTTATTCTTAAAGAAATACTAAAAATGAGGTTTTTGTAATGATTATATTGCATTTTGAGAAATGAACAAAACCAGCATGATTCAATACCTGTTCTGATCTTTCAAAGAAACAATAAAGTTTGAGTAAGTGATAATTAAATGTTTTAAGTCTTCTAGACTAGAAAATAAACCATCAAAGGCTACAGCAGTTAAATTTAAAATATCCACAAGAACTAAGAGTATATGAGAAAAATGACAAGTAAATAAGGTTTTGTGGGGGTTTTTTGCACTAGTTGAATAATATATATTGAATTAACCCAATGGCTTAGACTGTAAAGCTGGCTCATTGTAATGACATTCTACAATATTTCAGCAATTGAAGCCAAAGTAGTGACATAATTATTGACCTCTTTACCAAAATATGGCCTAATTACTGACTTCCTTACCAGAACAAGAATTTAGGCTCACAATATGTGAACAGAGTTTCATCAAAAATACTTCCAGAGGTGTTTTTGGTTTTTTTTTTTCATTTTTCTAAAAGTCCAACTCAAATTGATGGTTTGCCACTATAAACCATATGCAAAAGATTTTTAGACATTTATTGTTTTATCTAAGTATTAGTCTATTGTGTACGTCTTCTACTATACATGAGTAAATGACTTTGAATAAAAGAAATTAGAATATCTTTGGAGTTTTGTTTTTTGAATTTTTTAAATTATAATACAGTTCAAATCAGTGTGCCAGGTTCATTTCAGCTCCTTCACTGCCAAACCTGGGGGCAGGGACTGCTTTAGTTTCTCTGTCTGTGATGACTGAGATATAAAGGTATCTGCTGCATTGAACTTTAAACTTCACGTTATCCTTACTTTTCTGGATCTTACCGGGTATGGCATCCTTTCACCTGGCGGTGAGCAGAAAGTCCTTGATTTCTTCAGTTCCGCCAGGCGTGGCTATGAGGGGCACAGGGGAACACGTGGCCGGCACAGTAAGCAGCAAGAAGGGAGGACAGAAAAGGATTTTAGAGTTACATATATAACTTAAAGACATCATTTTACCACATATTGAAAGCTTTGGTTAAAAATATGTTATGATTGAGTATTATGGAAAAATAACCTTTCCAATTTGTAAAATTTATCTTAACTTTATCTTAATATTTTCATAGGATTTTTTGGAAGTAACCTACCAGATTATCAGAGGTCAGAAATCATGATGTTCATTATGGGGAGAGTACCTGTTTTTGGAACATCCACCCATACGTTGGATATCAGTCAACTAGGGTATGCATATGTAGTTTTCCTGTGTTCTCCAACTGTAAATTTTAATTGTAATCTTGGGTTAAATTTCATCTTAAGGTTATATATAGTATGTTTTATTTTTTTTAATCATTGGTAATAAAAATCCTATGGAAATCATTGTTTTTTTGGCACTACATTGCTAAGCAATTCTATCAACATTTCCTGATTTAGAATCAGTTTTCAGTATAATTATAAATTCTCAAATTTTCTATGTCTTATATTGACTAGGTTGAAGGTTTACTTAGCCTGGACATTGTCTATATACACACATAATGTAGGGTAAATCTTCAAGTTTCCTATAAAAATTTAAAAATGAATGTCAGTTTTGCCAGAATGTTGACTTATTCCTAGAATGCTAGAACTGAGAGTGATTTTAAAGATTATGCTTTGGCTCCCTCATTTTATAGTTTGATTTGATTTTACAACATGCTAAAGCTTTAGTTTGGAAATATTTTTGTGTGTTTTTAATTTCATAAAGAAATGATAGTCTTACTTGATTTATATTTCTTTGACACTAATTAAATAACCCTTTTCCATTTGCTAGCTTGTTTTTTAATTGTCTGTTCGTATCTGCTTATTGATAAATGTTAAATAGATACTATGTTTGTCAGTTATGTTCATGGTAAATATATTCTTACAGTGTCTTTAAATTGGGGTTGTTTCACTGTGTGTGCATATGATTGAATTAAAAAGCCAATAGCTTTTTAATTTTTTTGTTCGAATTTTTGTTTTTTTACATACAACTTTTTAATTGATATGAAATTGATGAATATAAAGTGAGCCATGACTTCAGCTAGTATGGAAACAGTCTATTTAATCAAAATGAATAGAGTTTTAAAATCAAGTAGTAATATAAGTAAATGAAATAATGTTAATGTTAATTACTCTGTTAATAAGATAATGCCAGTATTTTGTATATCTTAGGGATTTGGGAACCAGGCGGATTCAGATAATGTTGCTGAGATCTTTACTTATGGTAAGCCATTTAAGATAAGTGAAGAATACACTTACATTATTGAAGAGGTTGAAAGAATAGCTTCACATTATCTGTTTTTTCTTACATTGTAAGAAACTATTTATGGTTAGTTTTTTCCTATGGCTTATATACTTAAATATTTTATTTTATTCTTTTACTGTTTATTTCTCACTTCTGTCATCTTATTTGATCTTCATAAGATGACATATACAGAGGATAGAAAGTATTGTGTTTAATACACAAAGATGCCTGGGCTCAGAGACTTGGAGTGGAAGGAGTGGAAGAGGTTCACCAAGGTCAATAAGCTGAAGACTAGAACTTGGATGTGAAACCATGTTCTTTCTACAAATCATCTATTTCCTTCATACACTGACCAAATAATGACTTCTCATTTGGAAAATAATTCAGCTATAAATAGACAAAAGGGAAAAGCGTACCTAAAATGTGAAATCCTCTGGTTATTTTATAGTAATTATATTCATCTTTGATTTAACTATATCTAGTATAATGCCAAGAATAAAGTAGGAGCTGATTATTTGGAATGTGTGTCCTTTCTGCATCTTTAAAAAACTTTAAAATTTGTTTTAGGAAATCTTGATTGTACATGATCCCTTAAAAAAGATTTTATTTGAGAGAGAGAGAGGGAGGGAGAGCATGACAGAGAGTGAGCAAGCAGAGCATGGGGGGGAGGTGGAGGGCAGAGGGAGAAGCAGGCTCCCTGATGAGTGGGGAGCCCAATGCGGGGCCCAACCCCAGGACCCCAAGACCATGACCTGAGCTGAAGGCAGATGCTTAACCAGCTGAGCCACCTAGGCAACCCCCCCCTTTTTTTTTTTT